TGGGGGAGGTGGTGGGGGAGGGGGAGGCGGGGGTGGCGGTGCAGATGGGGGATGAAGGGGAGGGTCGGAGCAGCAGGTACGGTCGTTGGCATTGTCGGAGCCGGCGAATAGCGCAACCATGCACTCCTGGGAGTTTGTATTTCTGTAATTGCCGTTGTTAATCTTTCTGAAGCTGGTGGTCTTAGGGTCTGCACAGAGCGACCGCAAAGTGGTGCAGTTGCCCTTGCCCCCATTCAATATAGTAAGGCAAATCCTGGCGCCATTGCTGTTGGTACCCAGGTGTCGCGCGGTCAGATCGTTCAGTTTCAATATCACAGTCCCCGGTGAGGCATAACGTGGAACTTCTAAGAAGCTATATGTGAAGATGCCATTTACGGAAGCCTTGATGACGACATCCCTTTGGCATCCTTTCTTCAGAAGCATCTGCGGGTTCGTCGGGGGGACGCTGTTAACGATAAATGTTCTATGTCATGAAGACAACCAGGCAAGGTAAATCTGCTCGAATGGAGTGACACACAGTTGCGCGCCCTCGTGACTGAGTAAAGCTTTAACGTTCGACAACCGTAACGGGAAGGCTGCTAGATTTTGAGCACGCCCGTAGTGCTAGTTATGCTACATCAACACATGTTCAATGATAAGATTATACTCACGTCCATCTTGTAGATTGGTGCATTCTTGCACATGAAGTCGGCATTGAGTGGATTCACTTCCAGCGTGAAGCAGAAGGTGCGATTTCCAAGTCCGGAAAAATCAGGCTTTAGACGGTATATAGACTCCAAAGCGACGCATTTTGCGCAGTAAGGAAATGCCTGGTATCTCGTCGGCGGGGGCGACAGCGGACTACTCAGCGCGTGCGACGCCCTGCAGATTGGAAAATAAGCGCAAGGTAGCAAGAAATTCAGCAAGGCATCAATCATTTATAAATAGAGTGATGAATAACGCAAAATGAGGGGAGCCGCAGCGATCAACGACACGGGGTGATACTGGCGCCCGTGCCCGCCAAAGCGACGTAAGCCAAACGGATTGCAGCATGGCTATTAAAGCTACGACTCCTCATGTATCAGAAGGTAGGTAAACGTTTAAGAATAAGCCTTTGAGCCCTACATGCTTGTACATCGAAGCCTGCAGCTGGCCCTAGCAAGGTAAGCAACGACACTTACGAGAATACGGCGACTACGCAAAGAGCAGCCAACAGTATATTCTTCATTGGTGTTCGCATGTCGGCTCTCAATGTGCCCAATTGGTATGCTGAATTGATCTGGGTAACCGCGTATTTATAGTAAGCTTAACTCCAGTATACTTCAACGTACAGTACAGCAATGAAGCTGGTCGAAATCGGTCTCGTGCAGCCCAATGTTTGTAACGATCATTACTCTACACCACGGGCTGTAACGTATTATGTCGACTGCCAATGTTTGATACTTGCCACCTGTTGCCACGGGCAACGAGCTAGATGCAGCTACAACCCTTCAAGCGGGAATCACGTTTGACGATGGACAATTAACGATTTCTCATTGTCGTCACTTAGGTCTCATATCGAAACGGATGAATGGTCTCGTCAGCCTTTTTACGCTCGCGACCCCCCGTGCATTAGCACTCTCAATATCGATTCCGTTGTTTCCTTACCTGTACATGCTTTGGAATATATATCATAATATCGAAGTAAAGTTATTGGCCGTATTGGGGCTTGGAGTTAATTTAAAGAGGTTTTGTTTACATGGCGGATCCCGGCTTTGCGACACATAGAGCGAGGCTTGGTGACCGATTTTATAACGGATGATGAATTGTTCGGAAGATGCGTTAATTATCACCTTACCAGCACTACAACGCAGATTGTAACTTGTGTGTTCGTGTGCACAGATTGAAAGTCCTAAAAGCATGTTCAGGTCGGTAGCTTCCTGCCGCTTCGAACGGGCAAATGCTTTCCATAGCTACTTCACGTCTTTGCGCCCAGCAATCTTTAAATGTGTCAGCCATCTCAATATTCAGGTTCAATTTTGTAATGGCAGTCATGACAATTCGCGCACTGCACGCTGAGGAGACCTCAGTGTGCTTATTGAGCAAGCAAGTCAAAGCACAGGGTGGAATATGTAGTGAAGGATGGTGTATCATATGCCCGCTGCCGGAAAGGGGTTATAATAGCTATCTGTATGTGTGTTGTGTGTGTTACATAGTCGTGGGGGCGTGTAGCCCGTGCCTGTGAACCGCCCAAACCGAGCCGCGGGCTCAAAGCCTGCCAGATCGCCTCAAAGCACCATCCTACCTCGCACTTCAGACAAAGCAAATGATAGAATCGCGGTGGAGTCACACACATTCCAGCATCTCCACCAGACGTTAGGTTCGCACTTGATAGTGTCCGTCATATGGTGATGTTGGAGACCATGAAATGGGAACCAGTACGTCTGGTGAGGATGTTGGAACGTATGTGGGCTCAACGAAACTCAGTTACCCCCTTTGGACGCTAGCCTGGGCTGATGTGCGGTGTTTCCTTTTCTCCTTGGCTTTTAAGCGTTGTAGTATTGCCCTTGGGCCTTCGGCTCGTATGGGTAGTTTTACAGGTATGGGGTCACGCGCCCCCAACCATGTAACATACACACACACATATGGTGATGTAAGGTAAATGAAAAAGTGGGGGGAGAGTTTGAAGGCGTGAAGCAAGGGTGTCCTTTGTCTACGGACTCTTCATTGAGGCACTAGCTGATCCGATTGATGCTCATGACCTTGTAGAAGCTGGAGTACGTAAGCATGACACACCCCTTGTGGACAGCAAGCGCGTCTCCATACTGTTGTATGCAGACGATGTTAGTCTGCTAGCGACGTCACTAGAGCGAATGTCTGGGTTGCTACATCTTGTGGACTTACTTTGCATGTAATGGCACCCAGCAGTCGGAACTTAGCGAGAGATGTCAACAGTTACGGCTATCAGGCCAGGTAGTACCTGCCAAAGATAGCGCTCGCTATCTGGGGGCTTGGTATACGGGCCAGAACGGCCTTTTAGTGCGTGCCGTCAGCAGTTATGTGATACAGGTCGGTCCGCTATGTTTTCCTTCAGCGCAAAGCTGGACAAAATGAAGCTGTTTGCCCCCGACGTGCGAATGCGGTGCTTTGCAACCCAAGTCCAAGCAATTCTGTTGTATGGCTGCCAGGCGTGGGGCCCTTTTGCGCTGGCAGAGGTCGTGGACAGGGTGCCGGCCAATAACTTTACTTCGATATTATGATATATATTCCAAAGCATGTACAGGTAAGGAAACAACGGAATCGATATTGAGAGTGCTAATGCACGGGGGGTCGCGAGCGTAAAAAGGCTGACGAGACCATTCATCCGTTTCGATATGAGACCTAAGTGACGACAATGAGAAATCGTTAATTGTCCATCGTCAAACGTGATTCCCGCTTGAAGGGTTGTAGCTGCATCTAGCTCGTTGCCCGTGGCAACAGGTGGCAAGTATCAAACATTGGCAGTCGACATAATACGTTACAGCCCGTGGTGTAGAGTAACGATCGTTACAAACATTGGGCTGCACGAGACCGATTTCGACCAGCTTCATTGCTGTACTGTACGTTGAAGTATACTGGAGTTAAGCTTACTATAAATACGCGGTTACCCAGATCAATTCAGCATACCAATTGGGCACATTGAGAGCCGACATGCGAACACCAATGAAGAATATACTGTTGGCTGCTCTTTGCGTAGTCGCCGTATTCTCGTAAGTGTCGTTGCTTACCTTGCTAGGGCCAGCTGCAGGCTTCGATGTACAAGCATGTAGGGCTCAAAGGCTTATTCTTAAACGTTTACCTACCTTCTGATACATGAGGAGTCGTAGCTTTAATAGCCATGCTGCAATCCGTTTGGCTTACGTCGCTTTGGCGGGCACGGGCGCCAGTATCACCCCGTGTCGTTGATCGCTGCGGCTCCCCTCATTTTGCGTTATTCATCACTCTATTTATAAATGATTGATGCCTTGCTGAATTTCTTGCTACCTTGCGCTTATTTTCCAATCTGCAGGGCGTCGCACGCGCTGAGTAGTCCGCTGTCGCCCCCGCCGACGAGATACCAGGCATTTCCTTACTGCGCAAAATGCGTCGCTTTGGAGTCTATATACCGTCTAAAGCCTGATTTTTCCGGACTTGGAAATCGCACCTTCTGCTTCACGCTGGAAGTGAATCCACTCAATGCCGACTTCATGTGCAAGAATGCACCAATCTACAAGATGGACGTGAGTATAATCTTATCATTGAACATGTGTTGATGTAGCATAACTAGCACTACGGGCGTGCTCAAAATCTAGCAGCCTTCCCGTTACGGTTGTCGAACGTTAAAGCTTTACTCAGTCACGAGGGCGCGCAACTGTGTGTCACTCCATTCGAGCAGATTTACCTTGCCTGGTTGTCTTCATGACATAGAACATTTATCGTTAACAGCGTCCCCCCGACGAACCCGCAGATGCTTCTGAAGAAAGGATGCCAAAGGGATGTCGTCATCAAGGCTTCCGTAAATGGCATCTTCACATATAGCTTCTTAGAAGTTCCACGTTATGCCTCACCGGGGACTGTGATATTGAAACTGAACGATCTGACCGCGCGACACCTGGGTACCAACAGCAATGGCGCCAGGATTTGCCTTACTATATTGAATGGGGGCAAGGGCAACTGCACCACTTTGCGGTCGCTCTGTGCAGACCCTAAGACCACCAGCTTCAGAAAGATTAACAACGGCAATTACAGAAATACAAACTCCCAGGAGTGCATGGTTGCGCTATTCGCCGGCTCCGACAATGCCAACGACCGTACCTGCTGCTCCGACCCTCCCCTTCATCCCCCATCTGCACCGCCACCCCCGCCTCCCCCTCCCCCACCACCTCCCCCATCTCCCCCACCTCCCCCGCCTCCCCCTCCCCCACCACC